TTAAATTTAGTTTATTACCAAAGGATGTCTTTGATCGGATGGGGCGAAAGGTATGATGACCAATATGATATATCAAGAATACACGATAGTTAATCTGTCCACATGGAATTGGTTTGTAGTTTGGAGACTTTAGACATCCTGAGTGTGGTTGGTTTCTCAACTTCAGTATCTTCTTAGTCACGCTTACTCGAATACGTTTCAAGGAAATGATTTTTTCCAAAGGGTAAGGGAATGAAATAGTCAACTCGGACGAGTGTCCCTAGAGACATTTCTGAATCTAATACGAACAGGATGATTATTGTTCAGTGAGATCACCAAACTATTTCATTAACCCAACTGGATTATAAGGCAGGATTTTTCCAGCAAAAAACTATGTTGTGATACAGAAAGTACAGAGTTGTTATAATATAATTAAGGAAACTTATCATTTGTCTTTCCATGACCTTTACGACTTCATAGAGCAGGGAAATCAATTGGTAGTTGGAGGCTTTCACCTTGTCATCTTCTCTGTGCGAGTGTAGGAACGATTTTTTTCCAACGAAAGTAATCTATTCTTGTACTGAGCAATTGAGTTAAGGAGTAGAGGGGACAATATTGATCACCACATTCTATTAGGACACTCAGTCTAAGTACATCAAGACCGGAAGATTAGATGACATCAGATGCCTCAAAAGTACTTTCATTTTAGAGACCCAAAGTTTTTATTTTGTCATGGTGATCCATGGGGAGATAGGTTATGGATAGCAATGTGTTGGGATGGGAGAAATTAGTGGGAAGTTCCTTGGACGTTAGACTAAGGGTGGCAATATTTAGATTGTGTACTACCCCGGTCCATAATAAGAAATGTGGTATGAACATGGTTGTTCAAAAAATTATGTATGTCATGTCAATACCATTCTAATTCTTTATCAGACGAAATCGACAGGTTATTCTGTCACATTTTGTTTTATAAATACGTCTTTTGTGTTGTCATTTATAGTGCGACCAGTACATGCAACATTGGAGAGATGCCATTCATCACAGCGACGTGCCTATTGCTGATACATCTGCGGGAACTAGATTTCAGCTAGGTGAATAGCCTAGAAGTTTTCGTATATGAAGTGATAAAAAATACCTCAGCTTTGGTGAAAAATGCCGTAGTCATAAATTATCATATATTGTGCATTTAACTGGCAAATCCGTCATAAAGATAAAAAAATTACTGGAAGACAAGGTTGCTTAGTTCCGAAGGTATAAGACTAATAAATCGTTGACTTCCCATAATTGGTTCAGTCCAGACTATAGCATTGTTCATCTAGTCTGAAATGCGTTTCAAATAAACTTACTCCTGTTATCTAGTTTCTAATATGAAGATTAAGTTTGAAACCGGTAAATAAAAAGAGCTTAGAAGCGTTTGACTCACCCCTCAGTGATATATGAGAAAGTTTCATGCCTGTAGTTTCCATGATAATCTAAAGTAATGAACTTTCCAGGGAAAAAGGAGCTTCGGGTGATCTCGAATATACACATAGTGGTCAGAAGTCAAGATCAAACTTAACACTGCTTTACGTTACACCATATGTTGGTGATGCCGGTAATCGAGATTTTGCGTGAGTTGATGAAAGTTGATGTGTAAATAATGACCTAACTACTTACCATATCGGATCAGTCATTTGAAACATGCGGATATTGTCACTGACGGTTATAATAAGACATGCATCACGCAGGACTATTATACATGGGTGTTTATCGTGTACTAGTTCTCTGTGTTCGAAGATTATCAGACACAAACATTTGAGACTGAAACGTAAATACAGAACGTAAGAAACACTCTGACGAAGTAATCTATATCTACATACACGGCTCAGTCCAGTAGTTGGCTTCTTTATGGACTGGTGCCATGATTTGTAATAGTCTTCCAAATCTTTCTTACAACTTACTCCTACTACATTTATCATCGTGCATCAAAGGCAACAGTGAACAGACATATGTGTTACGTGCTGCAGTTATCTCAGTTGGTATAGATTTATTGAATTATTAGCAGAATCTTTTGAACACCAACTTTGAATATAAACGGAGGGGTTTAACACATTTGTTTACATAAATCTCTATAATTAGTAAGTTCAGGTGGACAGACATAGATCCCAGTCGTTCTTATATTGTTGCCTGACAAATCTAGATGAAGACGAGAAAATCAGAAAATCCTGATGAATACGATGTATTGTTATATATTCCGATGACAGTTCACAATAGACACTAACTCTTTCAGTAGTAATCCTAGAGAAAGACTGTGAAAAGTTAGTGTACTTATTTACTATGCCTCCTGTCGATTTACGAAGTCGAGATCTGACTTAAAATTAACAAACACAGGTATAGTGAAGGGGTTGGTATGTCCATACATGAGTGGAACAAGCCTAGCTTTCCAAAGTCTGCTCTTCATGAGTCCATGTAATCGTTACGTGATGATAGAAGCTGATATTTTTAATACTGCTGTGACTCATGGAAACCCCGAGATTGGGAATAGTGAGCAAATCAACCCAATTTTCTAGTTAGTGACTCATATTGATCGACGTATAAAAGATATAATGTGTTTCTAGTTTTATATAAATTAAGTTTAAAGGTGCAAAGTACGTGTTGTATCAGGGAAGACGTCACATTCCAGATAAACATCTTTTATTCAGTGAATGCTAGCATGTCTATTATCTCCGTTTGTCGATCGTGTAGTATATCGGAAAAGTAAGGAGTGCGAAAAATGCGAATACACTGCATGTGTGAAAATATCAGTTTACTGTTGTCGGGTTGGGCGGGGTTTCACTATTTACATACCGTTTGATTGTATCCCATTTTGAAAGTTATTCTCATTCTGAATTGAGACGTTTATACGGTCTGAAGGAAGTTAGCGTCGTCCCTTAAGTGACTTCGGCTTCAATATACCTAGGATAAGTCTTCATTGAATCGCAAAATTTCAGTTGGTGGAATGTTTTCCCTCCAGATAGTTTGGTTAAGGTTTGTGATGTATCGTTCGACGGAAGCACATGCAACGGTTACGACAGTAATGTCATAATCAAATACTTTTCTGGCAAACATGTCAACAGCATCTAGTTTTTTTTGGTAGGTGCTCTGACAGATATAAAGAAAAGTGGCTGAAACATACTTCTGAAATTAATAACGACCCTTAGGGAACGTCTAAAACACTTAATTACTTCAGGCTTTTGGCAGTTTCTTCATTTTACGTAGTAAAAATCAACATATAGTAGTGGGATGTAACGAAGAAACCCAAATTATATCGCCTCGACAATAATAAAAATCTCTATTAAATGATGAATCACAAACTGTACCCTGTCTACCCTAATTGTTTTTGTAGCAATCTCATAGTTGGTGGTACTACACTCATATTGGGTTAGAAACAGTATTAAGAAGTGGTCCAAGAGACTTATGCTGCGTCGGGAATACAACCCTTATTTGGAGCTAGGAAATGTCATCATGTTGGTGAGACATTTTACGTACAGTACTAACCGCTCAGTCAGCATGAGGACTCAGTATCCAATAGCATATTTTCACTTTTCAATGCAACACCTACAAAGATGTTCCCTGACGAAAGCTTTTGACCTGGGATGAGAATCTGGCAATCATTCTGACGATGATTTGGGGGCTTGGTGGGTGCTCTCTACCTACTAAGCCTCACACAGTAGAACTATCTTGACGTTTATATTGAGGATTCCGACTTCTATTTTGGCTGGCAATTGTTCTGGGTACCATATGTTCGTCAGTTGTAAGAATGATGTCCTCAGCATGACTATCAGTGCCTTCATATCTACATTAGACTCACTATGTTTATCGACCTGAAGCTGTGTCAGACCCTCTCCTGGTCCTTACGTCTTCCGTTGACCTTGTGAATCCTTTCTTGATGCAAATACGATCTATCTGGTTCTCTATAGTGCGATCCGGCGTGACCCATGTAACCTTGTGTATACGTTTGTGGGGGAATATTGGTGGATGCACATTAATTTACAATTCTGTCACCATTTTTGTCTTTCTGCCAGTTCATGTCATTCCATGATATCATTCTGTCCGATGTAGTCGTTTCCGACTTTGTCGTTTAAATCTCTCATCAAAACGATCAGGTCATCTCTTCAGCACTTTGTTGTGATTGCTGTCATTTGTGAGTGCACAACATTCATTGTGATCCCCTCCTTTGTTTTGAAGGATGCACTGATGATCCCGAATCCATGAGATTCCCATTTTATGCATGTTTTCGTGCTCATTTGGACAGTATCAATACAAATCGGCGTTCGAAGCATCACTTTCTTCAGGATCAGAGTACAAAAGCACATCTAATCTTTTCTGTACAGCTTGAGTCCAATGGGTTTCGCTGGTCCCGAGTACCACCTCATTTCCGTAACTATCTAACCGGTTCTTTCAATCTCCCACATTGTCCGGACATTCCACGTACCTAAATTAATTGTTGCGCTGGTTGTTGGCAGGGGCATTGGCCTAATGACTCCCGACTTCTACCACAATACATCATAAAACTTCTAATTTAAAAATCACTACACTCCCAGGACAGAATTAAAACTTTTTATGGTCAGGGTCGCTTTCTACGGAACGGGGTTGCTGACCATTTATCCGAGTTTGGGACCGGAAGTAATCCTAGGAGGGCTACTGGATCCATATCTCAACAGACGTTCCAACAGCTCGAACTGATACACATGGACCTGTTTATGAAAATAAGCCGTTATTATCCACATAGTGGTTGCCGATTCTCATAATTCTTTTGTAGTAAACGTAAATAAAGCAGTAGTAGCACTGGAATGTTACCGACAAAATCTTAGCTAAACTGTTGTACCAATTAAAGCATGTGCTTATCAGAGGCTAGTTATTTAGAAAAAAGATCAATTTTATCGTTTGCCACCTCCGAGAAATACAAAAAATGTACGTTCAACCTACAATCTCCACTGAACTCTATGAAAAAGAAATTCTATCTTCAGAGTATGAGTAGATCCTAACACAAAAGACTATTTAACACAAGGAATATATTAGCTAAATAGGCCACTAATTTTAAGGTAGGTAAATTTTCGCTGTAGCAGTAATAGCGGTTATATCACTATGGATGTGAAAAAAATAATGCGACTCAAAAAGAATCTAAACGAAGATTGCAGTGTGACACACATGGCAACATGAAATAAATAAGCATAAGTGAACGTTAAGTAGTAGGTCATAGAATGAAATTTCATACACTTCCAGAGTTGTAAATAAAATCTATTGACAATTATTCTTTATAAAAATATGATATTATAGCAAATATAAATATACATGATTCTTAGTGGAGGTAAATACACAAAAAAGCAAAAATTAAAATAAATCACACTTATTGAATGGAAATAGAGACAACAGTTTATGGAAGTAACTAATTAATATTAAAGAAGAGTATTGCAGACATTGAGTGTGCAAGATAAATAAAGATCAAATAACATGGAGACAATAGCTGCAACACAAAGTTATGGTCGAAAAATAGGTGACCCCAAGTCGTACCTTAAATAGAAAGAAACAAAAGTACAACATTCCATTTTAATTTAGGTATAAAGAAGCTAAAAACTGATATATAGTACGTTATTTCGTAAAATCAACCTTGGTGATTCGTCAACCAATCAGAAAGATGTTTATTTATAAAAAAGATTAGTGATAAGAAGCAATACAATCACAGTGAAAAAAGTAGTTTCGATGTGATATAACGACCCTTACAAGTTGAGTTGTTCATTATAGTAAAAGAAAAAGACTTAGAATTAAATAATGTGAGCTTAGCTAAATTTATGAATTAGGGTAAGAACGGTTGTGGTTGAAATTTTTAAATTAGGAAAATACGCTTGGGCCATACGAACATCTTTGACTACGGATTGAGTCATTTCAAGTATTCTAATTTACAAGCTGCATTAGTGAGCAGAGATTTCGTTTAATCTAGTTTACACACAGTCTCATATTCACTATGTGGTTGCGTAAGAGATATTGACATCAATTCTCAGTATTTTTATAACTAGATGTTGACGATTTCCCTTATTCTTAATAAGATACATGCTATCTTTCACTGCGATCTGAATTTTGAAAAAAGCCTGAGATGTTACTTTAAATTTAATTGATCCATTTAAGATCGTCAGTATAATTTAGTTTTATCCGTTATTTGATTTGAACTGTAGGGAAACATGCATATTTGTTAAGCACCGAAAGTTAAAACAAATACTGACAATCGAAAACTAAGCATCTACACGAATATCATAATGGTCTCTCAGTTGCGAGGAAAGGAGTCTTAGAAGAATAATGCGAAAATATATGGACAAAAAATAATTTGTCTCGAAACATGCAGAAAATATTTTGAGGTATACAAGTCTAGTTGGTTATAAAAAAACCTTTCACACTTGGAAGTCGATAAATTTGTTGTTAACTCTTAGGTTATTAACCTTAATAAATAGCTTCATTTATATTATTTTCCAAGGAAAATCCCGCTTCATTTAGTCACAAAGTCCTCAATAGCAGATAGTGCATCACTTAGGAAGCCAACTGATGAAAAAATATTTAAAGACAGACATTAGTCAATGAACCAGATTCATAAAACATCATGTATAATCTCATAATAATAGATATCATTAGTTAAATAGATGTATCCTCACCTAGCCAGAAACCATCAGGTTGAAGTGACTAAAAATAATCTGAACAATGAGCTTATGTGACTCCATCTTTTACATATTGAGGGACAAAATAACTAATTACACTAATACTATTTGTCCATAACTAAACATGATATTCACCATGTGTTTAGCTAGAATTCAACTATCCGGATTGAAAGTAATCTCTGAATACATGTGTGAATACATTTATCCAATACGATTGGATTTTATAAGGATAAAAAACACATATAGTGTTTATATGAATGCTAAATATTTCACAAGTGGAGTGAAATACTTCGATAGATATGATTATTGCCTTAGTTCTAAAAAACAATACGAACGTCTAAATAAGCATATTTATTTAAAAAGAAATAATAAGAAAATAAAGCATTAACCTTACCACTTAGTTTCAGCTTTCCCGTCTACTGAATCAATAAGATTTATCGACAAAGTCCCTATGAAATGCGTTTTTCCACTACGTGTAAAACGCCCCACATGATTTTTGATATCCAGTCTTAGAATGGTCAATGGAAGGTGGTCAGCCTCAATCGGAAACTGAAAACTGCAGTATAAAAGAGAGGAAAATAATATCAAGTAGACTTAATTAATAGACAATTGTATATAAAGAATAATTGAAGGTAATACACTATGAGATCATTACTATATATGTTTTCTTAAACCGAAGTTAATAAATAAAGTAATAGTGGTACTGATTTGAGACTACCACCTTTTTAGATAATATTACAGTTTAAATAACACAGATTTTTAAAGTATATGTTCACGATCTGGCAATATCCATCAAAGATACTTTTCCAACAAAACTGTTTTTAGAATGAATAGAAAAAACTTCGTACGATATATTACCTGAACATAGCATATTAATTTGGCGAGTACAGTCACTTTCGTAAATACTTAAACGTACGTATAAATCCCATACATACAGATGGAAACTATAACATATGAGATGTTACCTATCTTTTTTATGTATTGAGTAACAGATGAGCAGAAAAACCGTTAATTAAAACTGAAACATTGTTACTTATAATTTAGGAAGTATGTGTTCAACAAAGTTATGAAAAATATGTATCACTTTTTATTATTTGCTCAAATAGTTCAATCTATAAATAATTCTTACCACTGATTCCCAATCAATGGCGTACTTTGGTTGCAAGAGAACTTAACAAAATTAATCATATATGGGGTTTTCATTACATCCCCAATCATAGGTAGGTAGCACATGAAAGTGATAGAAACACTTGCGGTGTAAAAATATTATTGACATAGAAATACATGTATTCAGTAACGATTATAAACCTAGGAAATTTATGTGTGTCACAGGAACAGACGAAAATTCATCCTAAAAGAGAAACTATATATATATTCTCAGGATTTGAAGCAAGATACTTAAAAAAATGATACCCTTATTTTTAAGGCCAAGGTAGCGCGATAATAGAAAGTAAAAGTGGTATCATATGAGAAAGTGTCTGGAAATCAAGACAGTGCAGAGCATTCTGAAGACTTAACACACGAATTGATGAGTACATTGAATCGATTCCTAAAACGTGTAGCACTTCCTTGAGGTAAAATGAGTATATTTTTATTGGGAGTATTTTAAGATGTGTGATATTAAGTAGTAATTTAATAATACAAAATCATTACCAACCGTTTAATTTACTTTAATCTGAATGTTCACTTATAATACCGGATGACAAACTAAGAATTAACAACAAATATCTTATATAATACATACATAAACATGTACGAACTTACTTTTCTTCGTACTTTGGATCCAAATTATCTTTAATGGTTTTAGTCTTTTTTGAATCACTGACCACATTTTCGTGTAAATCCATAAGATAAAGTTTTACATATGGATCAGATAGACCATCTTTATCAACACCGCTTAAATGTCTATATACATAGGGATGAGATAAGAAATAAAAGTATCATTAATAAACTCAACAAATCGAAGGTGGATGACTTAAAAATCTAAGAGAAATGAGCTATACCAAGTCAGATGCATTTATTTTACATCATCTGATAAATGAATGAAGTTGAACACTGGGTTAATATACATATGTATTGCTTCCGATCTCGTTTATTTCAACGTAACAAATACACTACTCAGTAAAATTCAGTAGTTAAGTTAGAATTATTCATTTCTTAGGGTTGTGATGTGGATTGTTGAAAAATGTTTTCAAACAGAAGTATTGATTTATTCTCCTACCTATTATGGTATTTCACTTTTCTTCCCAAGTGACTATTTTTTACACGCGACATTCTCCGAAGCTTGCTAATTATTCAAATATAGTGCCAAATCTTATATCCTAGACAAACATCGAAAATCAAGAGACACTGGAGGGCTGTTTCGTCCCAGTATGGGAACCGTTAGTAATGTGTATCTATGTTTCCGCCGGAGATGACTAATTTTCCTACTACTTTACTATAGTTACCAAAGTGAAAATGATGTAAATCGCGCTTTAATTAATAAAATAACGAGATGTCAATATAAAGTGTCAGTGAAAATCTTCATTTAAGTATACGCTAAATCGTTTGTACATATTTGTATGTAATTTTATGGCTGCATAAAAATTAAAGTATCACAATGAGTGTGGCATAAATAAAAGTGAACTACTTACTGACATTCATGTACAGTTACTTCTAAATAGTTCGACAGAGAATGAAACTGAATAGTTAAACGAATACGACCCAATGACGAATTGCTTATTTGTTGTATACTATTACCAGTCATCACTTGTCTAATTGGCTGAACAGACTGATTATCGAAGTTTGTTGCTGATAGAGATTCTGTAGAAGAAATAATATCCTAGAACAAAAAATAATTTCAAAGAAAAGGTAACAAAAGTATCAGTTGACAGTAGTTTTACTTCTAGAGGTGGTTACTATGAAGTTTTGTGATAGCATAACGCACATTCATATTAATATATAGTCAGTTCTCGGAAGTATTCTTCTTTTCAGAGAATATCACAAACAATAAACGGATGAAATCGTCAATGTTGCTACGCATAGGTATATCGTGAACACGTTCTCTAAAAATACATTCAACACATTGATCTCTAGTGTGTTTAACGTTCCATAACTAAAAAATTGTGACTGAAAAATTTGAAAAACTAAGTTACTTTACGATTATAATAAGGAGAGCTCCATAGAAGTATACGTTGTTAGTAAAAAGTGGATTAAGCTTAACAATTACCGATAGTTCATAAAATGACAAAGATTACTTAAATTATAGTTAATGAACTCAGTATACTGAAACAAAGTTAATCCCAGTTTTATCTAATTTATACGTAAGAGATTTGAAATGTGTATTCAGTCCTTATCAAAGTGCTCACTTATAACAAATTCCATTTATTGTGATCACGGTCCCTTATAATAATGACCAAAGGATACTATGATACAAAGAGTTCTTGCACTTTCAGGCCATAGTATCTCACGAAAGTAATTTGGAGAGTGCTCAGGCTAAATTCATCATCAAATGACTGCAGTGGTAAAAATCTCTAAGTCTTCTGATAGTCTACATCTACATAAATAACGAAATTATTTCATAGCGTGAAGAACTATTCCTTTTACTGACAGATAGTAAATTCTTTTCAAGAAGTGGAATAAATAAATTTATAACAGCGAGCGAACTAAATACGAAAGGAGGTTAAGTCAGACAAAATAGTATCTTGCAACTTTGAAGAAGATACTGTTTTAGTGAACCGATAATGATGTTCATTTAACAGCTGTCAAAATTATTCCAACTGAAAGCGAAGGTTAACTGTCGTTCGATTGTGACTTAACTATATTAACATAAATAAAGTAATATGCTTCGGTTACAAAAAAAAACACATTAAGAAAGTTTTGATTGGAGGCTAAAATCACTTGGATGTAGGAAATCAAATACTAGTGAAAAACCGTTGCACCACAATTTGCTGGTATCATTACCAAAGTTTGATTTGATAATTTCGACTAAATTGAGCATTGAGTAGATTGTCATAAATAAATAATACATTTGTAATATCCCAATGAGTAGAAAAATTAGATTTTCTGACGTTTCGTGACTTAGTGTAAGCCACTTCTTCAAAGAATAAATAACCAAATTAAAATCAATTTGGTTATTTATTCGTTGCACCACAAGTTTAGACGTGTCAACTCAATTTCTTTTGGAACCGATCATAAGAGGATCGAAACCAAACAAAAATTATAAACAACTTATCAAAGTTAAAATACAACTAATTGAATCAAATGATAACGAAATTTATTACTGATAAAAAATAACACAAGTCATAATTACCATAGTACTTACATTATCATCAGGAAAACGATTTCTCACAACCATTTCTGGATTTCCTGTGGGGGATTCAGCAGGTTTTGTAGTTGGGATAGTATTATTACTAAAATTATTATTCAGGGATAAACTGCGTTTTGTATTGGTGTTATCATGCCCGCTTGGATTTCGGCGTTGTCCAGGAAGTAAAGCCTGTTATAATAAGAAATATTTATTTCTCCTTCGGTAATCAATCATTTAGTAGATATTTAATTGTTCTACCGAGATTATTCACAAAGTTGAAAAATATCAGCTAAAATATCATAAAATTGTGCTAGGAGTTAAATCACAACTCTTTATAAGCACCCATAACGCGATGAATTGGTAAGTGCAAAGAAGCTAAAAACAATTACCAAATAGTTGAGAATTATCTATATATGACAAAGAGCCTGGTACAAATACGGGATGACAAAAGTTGGAATACTACATTAACATGATGAAATCAAATTAACAAGATGAATAATAAAGAAGTCGAAAAAATGCATTAGTAGTGATAATGAAAAGACTAAACACTGAGAAACTTATTTGAACAGGCAGAAAGAATAGCTATGTATGAAGGGATAAGGGAACGCAAGATCTAGAGAAATGTTAAAATGAAATATGCTTGCATCACTTTGACTGACTCTAAGTCATCTAAAGTCTCCAACCACTGGTTACGGTCAATGAACGGACCGCGATACAGAAATGACAGTAGGACAACGATCTATGATTAGATTTCGACAGTCAAAGGAAAAAACAAACTTGTAAGTTAAATCAATTTCTATTTAGAAATTTTGGATATTGTGTTTTCAAACTGAATAAGTATTAACTCATTTTTATTCATTCAAGAATAACTAATATATGTAGGTCCAGTAATTAATATTTTCTTGAATCGTATCTTCGATGACTAACCTTTACAATCGCCACTCGTGCTGGTACTACGTTTACAATCTCATTTCTCTATTCTTATGGGGTACGGAAACTTGAACCGATATATATGAGAACTAGGTTCAATGTTATGACTGACTAAATTATCTAAGACAACAAACCATACTAAAGTGGAATAAGAAGCCCATGTCTAAAGTCTAAGCCGACACATGAAGTCAATCTGTGAAGTTACTGATTTGTATGAGAAGATATAGATCTTACAGTTAGGATCCATGAAAAAGTTTTAAATAATTATCAGGAACCATAAAAAATGTTTTAAAAACAGTAAAAGTGGTCTATAAACAAATGCCCCTTATTTAAAAAAAAAACAACCTAAATCATGTACATTTTGGTATTTAATGTTATTATTTCATTTTCGCTAATGTTCTGTACTTCAATTAGATGATTACTATCATGAATTGTTTGACTTGTTATTGATTACATACTATATTCCAGTACATAGTATGTTAGTTATATTTTTTCTGTCTGTCTTCTATTGGTTTGAAATTAATAGAATTAGGTGTAAAAGGATTTTATATAATTCAATTGAAGATATTTGAGAAAGAACCTTAGGAATAGCGTCTATTAATAGAGTAGTATTTAGACAACCTACAACTGTATCAGATAACAGACTTTGATAGTGCATGTATTTGACGAGTAGATTTATAATAATACCAAAATATGGGCCCCATAAATTATGAGTTTGTTTATCTTAATCGAGTAATTAGACATGGTGTTACTCATATTATGTAATAAAAAGGGAATTTGAAATACTGTTAACAACCAAATGTAGCAGTGTGGTGTATGCTAATTATATCTGTCGACATAAGTAGTGTGTAACACCAATCAGAAGTTGAATAGCTGGCAGTAGAAGGTTGAGAAGATCGAATTGAAGAGAACGGGAATGCAAACAGAGAGTAATTATAATAACAATAAAGGACAATACAACTGATGGAAGATTTGCAAATGAAGTATTTAATGTACTGTTTTTCATATTTTACAAAGACACTTTGCGTTATACAATAAGCTGGTAGTCCCCATCTGACTTCTCATTCATTACAACAGAATTTCGGAAAGCCATTAATTTACGTCTAAGTAAACCCTGACGATTAAGCCAAGATGGGTTTGTTTTCTTATGTCAAAGATATTCACGTTGAAAGTATGGAGTGTATCAAATCAATATTAATAAAAATTTCAACTATTTATTCTAAAATTTTAGGTAAAATATTTATAAAACTCACCAGCAGCTGTAAATGCATGTAAATGGTTGATGTTTCTCGACCTGTATCTTGTAAGGTGAATGGTTGCGTGACAGACATATTCTTCTGTGTTAATAAAGTTTGTAGTGAGATGTTACAAGATCCTAGTTTTGTCTCCGTCCGACTGTCGCGTATCTAAATCATGTCACAAGGGGGACATGGAGTACAATTGAACATTTTAATGAAACATGTAAAAATGATATAGATATGAAATCAGTATTATGCAATGGTGTCTCGGTTATCAATTTGTACGAATACATACAGTGAACGTACAAACAGACTTATAACCGTTCTACTGCACAACCTGACGTAACAGAGGATCAATTTAGTCGCCGAATCACCAAGTTAGTAAGCTGTCATGAATAGAAAAATATATTAGAAGCCGGAAAACCTCGAGACAGTAACAGCGAAAAATTGGACTAGAATAGTGAATGTTCAATATTTGAAGCAAGAAGTACGAGTGAATCTGTATAAGAATGACTATAAGTTATTAACTGAAAGTCAGTGGTTTCATTTACTACGGTAATCCCTTATTGTTAACGTTTCGAAATGTTTCCCAAATTATTTCAATCAATGCAGGTCACTCCTCTTACGTAATCACTGGATATGTTTATCAGGAAATTCTCTGTTTGTCATTGAGAAGCCAAAGACGAACTGAATGTCGGCGGTCGATTTTTATTCTCGGACATCAAATAGATTAAATTGTACATTAAAACCTTAATTGATAGGTTATAGCGGATTACAGAAATTGTTGTTGCACTTCACGGTAAAGAAGTATTTATACTACTGTTAAAACTTTTTAAACCGACCTAACAGCAGCCTGAAATAGTATTATACTCATGTTCATATGTGCGACACATTGATAAAATATTCTAGGTAACTGAAGATAAAACGTGCCTCTACAAATGCAGAAACCATGGGTCAGTATATGTTAGGTTTTGAAGCTATCACTATTTCACTTAATTTGCGAACGAGAACGAGATTCGATGACCAAGACCAGTAAGCTAACTATCGATGCGTCCCAGCCCCGCTATCTAGAGAGAGAAGACCGAGCTTAAATGGAAGTACATTCTGCAACAACCAGAAAACCAGCGAATTCAACAAAGACCATTTTAAAACGTATATATATATATATATATATATATATATATATATATTGCCATGGAGCTTTTAAACTAATCGATAGTTCGTCAATTGACTATGTGCGTGGGCGATAAGAAATCCCCACGTATACATCTGCATACAAGCTCCACAAGATAAAATTACAAACTATGAGTTTTTGGGGATCTATCGTCCCCAATAGTATTCTAATAAACTTAGTTTTAAGTAAAAACAACTTGTTCCACATCTCTGCTGCAGTAATTATGACTACTAAAAACACCCTCTCAAAGAAAAAGAAAAAAAATGAGTTAAACTTACAATAAGCTGAAGTATATCAACGTTTGGATCACTAACAAGAAAATGATGTACAGAGTTCCAAACAGGATTTTGTGTTTTTTCTTTAACTTCATTTGTTTGATAATCACGTCCTAGATGGATATTACAAAATGGTGAAGGTTCTTGTAGTTGCTTTACGGGCTGATAATGGAAGAAACAGAAGAACAAGGGAGTTGAATAAAGGTCGATTGTCTAAAATCATACGTAATCAATTACAAGGTAATTTTTTTAGATACAAAAGTAAAAATATTCAAGATGATGTAAAAAAGCATTGGGTTTCAGTCACTTGTTAAACAAAAAAAGTGATTGAAAGTTACTGCTGATATATCTGATACGACTATATATTAGTTGCATAACGATATCGTGAATTAGCAGAAGTTGCGTGAAAACCAAGTACTATTTACTGTGTCTATGTTAATGTGTTAACTCTGCCTGGAGCCCTTCTAGCGTTACTCCCAGTTCCAAACCCGAGTAAAGGAGGCTGGTTTGACTTTGGAAATCACACTGATGATGGATAAATTGACAGACCATTCCTACCAAACTTCAGCAAGGAGAATAAAGCAAAACTACTTAAATATTATTATTCACACAATCTATGGTAAGATCATTTTTACGATTAGCCTGTTCAGATTTACGTAAGTAATCTAGATTGACTTGAGAAGCAAGTAGGATAAAGAACATTACCAAATACACTTTTCTGTGATAAATACGACCTGTTAAAATCCATGAGATTGGCGTTTATAATCTTGTAGTTATATTCGTCATAAAATCTAGCATCAAGTGAACTTTACACTTTAGTATTGACTTTCGAAAATGCGATTAGAGTATTGATTGTACTTGTTATAAAGACTTATTACCATCAGGTGTAACACGAAAAAGTCCAAACTGATATCTATTGGGACAACGTTTTAGACAAAGAAAATCAATCATGCATAAACGTTATGATAAGCAATAGCGAAGAAATCAGTATATATTTCATCCTATCACTTACACATAAAAACATCAATTACAAAAGTGAACATACCTAACCTATAACAATAACAGAGTTATGATAAATGAAATATTGTCTTCAAACTTTTAAATGTTGAAAACTGAATCTTCTGGGAAGAATATTAATGAAAATGTTTAATTAAAGAAGCTGGGAACTCATTAATAGTGTAAATCATAAACATGATATCTTAGAACACGAGAAACCCAGTCCATAAATACATTAAAAGAGGTTACAGGCAATTTATCTAATAATCGTATTTCAATTTGAATTTGAAGAGGCGATAGTATCCATCTTTGATGTATAGGAATTACTCAGAAGTAAATATCCGAAACCTGAAAGACATGTTTCATACGACCAACTGGGAATTATTTACAGATGACTCACTGGAAATCACTACTGATGTTATCACTTGTTACCTTAAATTCTGTTTTGATATTTGTTGTCCCACTGAAACTATTTTTGTAAGTTTTGATCGACTTACATCTTCACAACTAAAACGACTACGGAGGGTGAAAGAAATAATGTACAAAAAGAAAAACTCTAGTGAAGTTCGTAAGCTAAATGGTCTGATAAACCTCGAGATTAGTTGTCTCAACACTATGTTTGCTCAAAAACTCTTGTCTTGTAAAAACTCTTCAAGTATGTGGAAACTCTTTAAAGAACTTACAGGTGACAGACAGATTAGGACCGATAACCAGCTGGATGTTTGTGACTTAAATAAGTCTTTTTTACGTCAATCATCTGATGTGATACTCCCTTTATTCACGGGTTTTAAAAAATAGCTGTGTTCCTAGTTTCACCGAAACTGATGTCCAAAAATGTCTCCAGTCACTAAATTCATCCCGATGTTTGGGACCTGATGGTATCCCAAACCTCCTTTTCAAAAAGTGTGCTGACGTCCTATGCTATCCATTCACCACTATCTTTAATAGATCCTTCTCTTCTAATCTCATACCGAAAATGTGGAGAAAGATGAAAATAATCCCTATACCCAAGAAATCATCTAGTGATAAGAATGTGAAATTCAGACCCATTGCAATAACTTCACCCTTCCTCAAAGCAATGGAAAAATTATTGACACTTTCACTTCAGCCTGAGATGAAAGAGCACATTGACCAGTATCAGTTTGCTTACAGATGCAAAAGAAGCACCCTCGATGCTGTTGCTGCTCTGCATCATAATATAGTGTTCAACCTAGAAAAGGGTAAGAAGTATGTTCGATGCGCTTTCCTGGACTATACTTCTGCTTTTGATTCTATATCAAGGCAACGTTTACTTAACAAGTTAATCAGCGTCAACACTGACAGCTGGATAACCAACTGGCTATGTTCCTACCTCTCTGGAAGGGAACAGTACACAGTGTTTGGAGGAAAGTGTTCAGAGTCTCTAGTGTCTTATGAAGGTGTACCACAAGGAGCTGTTCTTTCACCTCTTCTTTTCTCTTTTTTTCTGCATGATCTGCCATCTTCCACAGTAAACACTTTCGTGAAATATGCAGACGATCTCACTGTTTGTATGCCTATCTCTTCCTCTTTACATCCTATAGAAATGAACGAGTTTTTATCTCGCATTGATAGCTGGTCTGTCGTTAATGGTCTCCTACTTAATCCGTCTAAATGTCAAGCTGTTAACTTTAGCATGAGACATGATCGGCATTTAAACACCTTTTTGAGATCTCATAATGCTTGTGCCATTGGCGACTCTTTGATAAACACAGTGTCGACGGTCAATTATCTTGGTGTTACCTTTTCCTCTGATCTCTCTTGTTCTTCTCACGTTTTATTGTTATCGAAGAAGGTTTTCCGTCTGACATACTACATTAGGAGGTTGCATGCCTTTGGGATCACTCGTCATTTACTCCTACAATTTGTCAATTCTTGCATATTACCTATTATTCTGTACTGTTCTCCGTTATTCTTTCCCGGGCTTTTGAGAAAAGACTTTGCTGTACTGCGGAGAGCGCTGAAGGCAGTTAGCAAGTTATGTGGTGAATCTTTCGAGACCATAATTAATATGATTGTGGATAGACATCTAAAGTCATGCAAACTCCTGGCAGATGTTATTTTATCAGATACTAACCATCCCCTTCACTCATATCTTTCTCCTTGTATATCTTCTGGTAGAACGAGACGAAATTACATTAAAATCCAAGCACGCAAGCAAAAGTATAAACGTTCTATAGTACCTTACCTAGCAAATGTACTCTGTGACGAACAGGTTGTTAGAGTTAACCTAGTCAATAATCTGCATTCTTAACATGACTCTAATTGAAAAGTTGTACAGTTTTTTTTTTCAGATTTTTTTTAAACCGTTTTTTTTTCTTTTGTTCTGTAAAAGAAACTTGTTGAAATATTTTTGTGCTGAGAATTCTATATTGTACCAAAATATAATATTGAATAAAGCCATAAATAAATAAAAATAAAAAAATAAAATGTATGAATTATAGATAAATGGATGAATATTGTGAAAGTGAGCTGTCATGTGTGACCTATTCCTATCATATATTATGTCACTTATTTTGTGACTTCTGCTACGAAGGCTCCAAATAATTTAATTTTTTTCCTGTTGCTAACAGATTGTAGTTGTAACGGGTGAGTCCTCGATAAGTTTAAATGCAGATTACCACGTTGAAGTGTGATATTCTCTGACAAGCTAATTTCTCTCTTAGTTTGCGATCCAAAAGGTCATCACTGCGACTATACAATTAGTTGTTGTAACACATTCGACTTGTGAGAATAGAAAGAGACTCTTTAACTTTTCTCTTACTGCGACGTTTGGAGATTACAACGAAATTGTTATTACAGAGAAGGAGTTAATTACTAAGTGAGAATACAGAGACTAGCTTAAGTTTCAGATATAATCATCTAGGAACAAAGACTTAACAATTCAGTTTCCTTCAAATTTATATATTATTATTTCCATCCAGTATATAAACAAATACCACACATATGATACAGTTTACAAAATAACTTACTGGCAAATTATTCGCTTGTTCAATAACAACGTATAAAAATCCCGAACTCATACTTCGTCCGGATGCTTTACGATATTGTAGGGCCTGTTCCATTGACTAGTAATAATTAGGCAGTTTGGAATGGCATGATTTAATATAAAGAGAAAAGAAGGGAAATATAAGATGAATAAAAAGCAAATATTATCACAAATAAATAATGAATAATAAATAGAGAGGGAGTATTAGCATAACTTTTCTTCGGAGAATCAGTCCATGAAATTATCTCAAATCACAATTAACAAGATTATGCGAATAAAGTGACTAAAAAATAAAACAGACAAAAGGAATAACAAGTAAACATAACAAATTTCTTATGATGAGATTTGAAATTAAAAATCAAATCCAATGAATTCGCAATATCATGAAGAAAATATTCAACAAACTTGAGAACGTTTAGTTTGTAATGCATTTTTGTACACAGAACATGAACAACTGTATAGAGTGATCAATTGCCGGGCAATCATAGAGTAAACATTCAAACATAAAACACGAATGAAGATGATATATATTTACAGTGGATTTATAATTATTTCAATAACAAATTTCATATAAATCAGTTTACAAATTAAAAATCTAAAGGCTGAAATAAACAAATAGTAGTCAAAACTAACCATTAATACAAGAAAACCATGTTGAACTAACAACTCACAAAGATCTTAATATTTTCATCACTTTTAATACAATTCCGTAACCAGGTACAAGATCGTGTACCCATATTGAAGACTGGCATTTTGTGTGAGGTCTAGCGAAATTGCCTGATCCCATAAAACAATATAGGTGAGGAAGATTGGAACTATTGATTTAACAACTGAAATTTAAATGCTTTAATCACCAAGTCATTTCTCGTACGGTATTCACATTCAAGATAGATAAACAAATAACTGGTATAGAAACATAATAATCACCTAGATTCAGGTGAATAAATTGACACGTGATTTTAACTGTGAAAATACTATAATCTCCATAATCCCCCCATACAACTAGTGTAATCAGATATTTATCTCACTTTTATGTTAAGCTCACAACAATCTAACTTCGATTAGATAAACTTTTAAGCATTAGTTTTGGCAACCCTAAACATGAATCAGACATTAGGTGGTGATTCTGTTAAAGTGCTAAGAGAGAGAAAGAGATCGAAGTTTGTGATGTTAACTAAATCAAGTTTTGTAAATACATCTTACAAACAGTACAAAAGTCAACATTATTTATGCTACCACAAATGTTAATAATATGAATCATATAATATGTGACTAAATTTAAAAGTGATAATTAAATCAACTGATAAATAAAATCAAAGGAACGAAATATATAGAAATACAATCTACAATGAAAATGGAGATTTGGAAACCTATCAAACTAAGAATATTCAATATCTTATCTGTTTAGAGAGAAAACAACAACAACAATAATAATACAAGTATCACATAGAATCTCAGTAAATGAATCAAATTTTCAATAACGAAAAATAAAAATAATCCGTAGGAATTGGACAAACTAAACATTGTTCTATTGAAAATGGAATGAATGCTTTAAAACAATCTACTGAATTGTTTTTTTTTGGGGGGGGGGAGTATTGATTGTAGATGGGGATAATCTAATAAAAATTAATCGGTTGAAACATCAATCATACAAAATACACATAGACATAATGAAATAGTGATAAATTACAAAGTGCATGCGTAATCAACTTTTACATTAAAACTGTGATACTGAAATTTACACGAACTCACCATGTATAGCATAGTTGTACGTAAAATTTGACAAGTAAACATGATTAAGAAATAGGAAAATTGAAGAAAATCAGTGAATAACAATTATACGAAGATATATTTCTTGTGTAACAGAATGTGATTAAATGCAAACTAATATATATATATATATATATAGGGGATACTTGCAATGTGTAAGCACTTGTTATGTTATCTGATATTCGTTCTAGGGAGAGGGTAGTGAAGGATTAAATTTGAAAATTTTTGGCTTGTTTTTAATTTTGTTTAGTAAGTATTGATTTGAATGGTTTGTATTATTTTCTCTGAATAGATTGTCTATACCAATCTTCGTGTCGATTTCAAAGTTGCCCGTCGTTTTGAATGATCCGCTATTTCGCATAATTGTTTTATATACAAATCATTATGATCTCGCGTAAAATTGAAATGTCAGAAAGCTTCACTCTGATAAGCTTTTAAGTGTTTTGTTTTTGGAAAAAGTAGACTAACAAACGACTTTTGAAAATAGTTTAATTTGACATGGATTGGATTATACAGCAGTTGATATTTTAGACAAAAATTTGATCAATCATGGTTGGTATATGTGAATCCTGCACAGATTACCTCTATATAGACATTATGACACATGTTAGTATAGAATAAGTAGGATGTAGAGAGTTTCGTTTGTTTGAAAGGGATAAGCCAATCTAAGTGACTGGCTATCTGGACTGGGTGACTAAGTGGATAATGCGATAGGGTTGGCAGCAAAGAGTTTTGAATTCTAGTCCTGGAGTGAACATCAACTTTAGAAAGCAGGTACATCCAGCTGAATAGTCTCAAACAGGACGGAACGAACATCCTCCATTCCATTGCTAGTCACATTATATACTAATTTTTAAAAATATTATCGGGCTCTAATATTTGAAATAGACGTTAGCGGTGGTAGAGATCACGATCATTATAAATTCATACTGGCAATCTGAAATCACTGCTTTCAAGGATTTGATTATATTTTTGGTTGGTAGGGTAGAGAGGGTAACAAGACCAAAAAATCTGGCACCCTTAAAAAAATCATTTCCGTAGACTGCTAATATTCCCTTAGATTTATTATGCCATTCCCAAACTACGCGAATGACTATTATGCACTTATATTTATCAGGTATATCAAATACTGGTGTGGGAATTGATTTAGTTACTAGACATTGTTTGGTTGAATACTTCGAAAAAATAAATTTTAGAAACCATGCTAGTCATCACGCAATGATAATTTCTAGTGGTGATAACATGAAAAACAAATAAGCCTTCCATTAGGTAAGTGAAGCTCTTAATTTTACATGGAGTGCAAGGCTACTCAAGCCTAAAAAAGTAAACGTCCTTCGTCTTTTTCCAACTCACAGCAAATTTTACAACAATAATTCGACTGCATAAATGGAAAAAAGTCTCACATTGGGAAAAAGACAACTACCTGGTAGTATTTGATTCGCAATATCAGTATGTATTAACAAAAATACAGAATTAGATGGATTATTTGTCACTTATTCTACGATCATGTAACTTACCTTCATAAAATTTTTCTTATTTATTCTAAGTTGCATGGTCAATATGTGGAAATTTGCGCTATGATGAAAACATTTACAGTTTGTATGACCGTAAAGTATAGTGGACTGTGATGAAACGAGACTGTTTCGAACTTTGGAGATAATTGACAAAAATTAGTCAAGTGAATGTACAACGAAGTATTATTTGTTATTTAAATACAAATACTTCAATTTAATGCAAGTACCTTCATTTGTTAAATGTTCACTTAAAAGGTGAGATATGAAAGGACTTTGCTAACCAAAATAAAAGCAACAACTAGGTGTACACAACTACAGAGTACTATAATTAAAGTAAATCATAAACAAGAGTTTAGATTATTATCAGAGAATTCTATCGTTATAACTAGGTTATCGCTAGTTTTACCATAGAACTCTTTAAAGTCACAAGTTTACTCTATCAAGTAAACACTAACATAAACGAAATCCAAGTTCGAGGAAGGATTATTACCCTAAAGAAGTTCAAACAAGTTGACTGGACGAAACGTTAGAATTATTTAAATTTCAACCGCTGAGATTTTTCAAATATAATTTTCATATATAATGACTTTTCTATAGTCGGCGCCCAATTTCTGCCAAACTATTCGTTCTAATCTTGGCGAATATTCGTATAAAAGAGCACACATTTAACCTATTATAGTATGTAAGATGTTTAAAAAAAACCTCGGCAGATAAATGTCTAAATTCGATTAAAAATATCACGCAAAGGCATCTTGTTAATGTTTCACCAAAGGAAATTGTTTTTGAGGTGATAACTTTGGCTAGTACTACAAAATGTTTTATTTATTTATAATACATAAAAATGTTTAGTAGCGTTATAATGAAACGGATATTATAAAAAGTTCGAACTGGCTTTTCGAATCATCTGTAATTATAACTTTGTTGTATAATTACCGAGTAACTATATATATATATATATATATATATATATATATATATATATATATATATATATATATATATATATTCCATTTATTTATTTAAGCTTCTGGTTAACCCATTAACTACTATTATACGATTGACTATCGCTAATTTGTTATCAGCTGATAACTTAGAATGTGATGCGGTATACAGACATTGATTTAATGGGATAAAAATAAATTTGCCGAATTAATACATCGCTTAGAAAGGTTCCATATTTGTTCACTATTGAAAGTACTAACTTATCTGCTAGGATAATGGATGGTAAGTTTTCTGTAATCACTATTCAACAACATGAAATGGAGCATTTTTCCAAAAATATCAGGTTGTAACATTGGCTGGCTGGAAATCGACATAGTAATCACGAAGCAATAAAGCTAAAACTAGCTAACCTCGGAGATTTGACTAGAATTTAGCATTGAAGATGTTCTGTGAACAGTAAGTGCAAGCATGTATTAATAGTAATATCATATGCAAAGATATATTCAACGATTACTACGGATACTTTAACATAGTTATGAGGCAGATTAAAACGCTGGTCCTAAACACAGTCCACATTTCCTTGAATAAAGCAGTTCGGTTATTAGAGACGGGGTTTTTGAAACTACCAGTAAAATATTAAACAGTAAATGCCAGATAACTTATGAATAAACTGGTAAAACAAGAACATAAGAAAAGGCAGACAATATGATTCTAAATATCTAATAATAATAATAGTAGTAATAATGATATTCGACAAAATTGAATTTAAAATCATTTTATCAGTGAAATACTAGTACTGAACCGGTAATCTGGAAGGAATATTTCCAAATCGCAAGTTTAACAATTATCGCCTGGTAATAACAAACATGAATTAGCAAAAAGAGGTTAGTTGAAATCGTAGACCACTTTCACAAATGAAATAAGAGGAAATCAATTGAACTGACTAGAAAACGCAGAAGAAAGTCGACGGTACATAATAAGGTAAACAGCAGTAAGTTCCGGAAGATTAACACTAGTTAAAGGTACATTTACAAACTACGGTAATAATAATAATAACTACAAGAAAAGCTCGTCAAACATATTGAACAAACTTCTTATCAGTATATATGAATAAAGAATTAACGAATAATTTTAGTTGATTATTTTATCTAGCTCAGAACTATAAATATAAAAATTCGAATATGATATATATATATATATATATTGCGTTAAAATTCAGGCCAATATTGTATGAAAGATGCAGTTTTAGATAGCTTAGTGTTTCATGATAGCCTTAGTGTATAGAATCATACCATCGACTGAAATTAAGGAACGAAAAGAACACAGACGAACTTGTAATTTCATAAGAGAATTTGAACTTGAATAGTTTGTTTGTTAATTCATAGTTTACACAATTACGTAATCGATAGTGAATGAAATAAGATAATAGCAATTCGTAATTCTGATTAATTGTAAGTAATCTTTTTAATCATATTTTTTTCCCAAGAAAAATAGTTATACAGGCAATATAGCGAGATTCAGTACTTAAACTAGGTATTGAGAACACCATGGCATTTGAGTTTTTTATTTGGATAAAATTCATTCTGGGAAAGGAATATACATCTTTCAATACAAAAATAAGGTATTTGTTTCAATTTTTAAGCATGATGATGTAACATTAAACTAACAAGTATAAATTCTTTTTTCCAACAACTCTGAAATAGTTTACCGAAAATGCATTGCTTAGAATGAACGTCCACAATTTTACATATCTGGGATTGTAATACTGACTGAAATCATGAGAAACACTTGAATGTATGTTAATTTATAGTCATCCGTGTGAATACTTAATACTACGAGATACTCTACAAAAAAAAACACTGATGAAATGTCACAGAAAATCGATGAAAAATTTTAGACAAGTTTTAAATTGAATGAACAGTATTCAAAGTAATTTAAATACGACGAAACGAAAAAAAGTTTTCTGTTTTTCATTAGCTGATTAAGACTTAAATATTTAGCAAAGTAATCAAAAATCATTAAGAGCTTACGTTATGTAACAGTTTTGGAAGTAATAAGAGGAAATAATTTATAGAATAAAGGCTAAAGATAACTATTACTTGAAGTATTCTCTTGACAATTTTTTATTATTTTGCTAAATGATACAACCTCACTTTTTATTCAATACTTAAATGTTATTTAAAACAACAAATCGAAGTGTTTGAAGTAAAATAATATCAATCATCAACTTTCATTTGATCATTTGAACAAAAGCAGCAAATGAAGGCTAATACAATTCTGGTTATGACATATTAAACAATACTTAATAGAAGAAACAATGAAAAAAACGAATATATTTTTCTAACCTGTACAAAATCCACTTCATGATTTGACAGTCGAAACCACGTTAATTGAATATGTAGTGAACCAGTTTTCACCCCTTCTAATGAGGACCACTAAATAAGCGGAGAAATCATTAACATGTTACATTTAAAAGGATAAGAACTAAGAAAAATTTAGATATTTTCTGAGTGTAAAACTTTTGCTACGAATAATTAAATAGTTTTTACAATAGTTTAATGCTGAAACGAAATCTCTCTCTCTCTCTCTCTCTCTCTATATATATATATATATATATATATATATATATATATATATATATATATATATCGTTTGATTTACTTTATGTTGTCAAATATATCGTTTACTTTATTTTTATATACTCATCTGACGAGTACAGATTCGTGTACTTGACTCGTGAGTTACACTGCTAGTGTGAAGGTAGGTGATATTATACCCGGGTGGGTTTCAAATTAAAACGAATTAACCTAATGCTTGAAATTACGCAGCTGTGTTTTTTGTGAGGCTTAATAATGTGTAGAAACTTCTTATTCTACAGCAATTATCAGTTAAAGTCACTCAATTAATAGCTTTCTATATTGGGACACTACTGAGTCGTAAATAAAGAAACGTATGCTACAAGTCAAAAAGTCTGTAAATACTGATGAGAAGTTCAGAATAACAGTCTGATTTATGTCTGTGTATGGTATACTTTTGTACTTGGCGACAGTAATTACGCTAACCGACAGAGAAAATCACAGTTTATCAATCCAATCATTAACTAATAAATTTCAATCACAGTCAGTGGTAATGTGGGGTTGGCAATGAGTTATACTGCCGAGTGAAGCGCTACAAAGTAGAGAAACAGAAGGTATTACAGAAAGGCGAGATGATGAAAGAACTACATCGACTGTTATATTTACAGAGATATATATACACACTTGAAGGCAAGTTAGGTATTTGTTGACATACTATGATTCAAAATCACTATGAAGCTATCATAATTTAATGTGCTAATTAAAATCTTTGAATGAGTGATTTGGTTTGGAATAGTGTGTTCATTCTTAAGGTGGTTCAAAATGGAGGATCGGTCAAATTCTATGTTATATATGTAAAGATGAAAACATTTGAAGAGTATAAACTGCTGGGAAATTATGGCTTAACCGTAAAACCTACAACTCCTTTTGACCTTGAAGTATTTAAATAATCCAAAGTGCTAAATTAATTTTTTTAGTCGCAAATATAGTAAATTAAATTAATTCATATAAAACAATGATTTCTATTTAAATCATTCAATAAAGTAATCCGTTTGTTACAAATTTTACATAACAGTTAATAAAATAAATAATGTATGTTACTGTTTACATTTAATGTAGAGGCCGTAAACCTTTGAATTACACAAGTGGACATGATTAAACAAGTTCCACATGCACTTTTATGATTTTTTGGTGGAATTTGATAGTTAGTATACATGAAAGATATACGTACATCCTTTATGACAGATCTTAGGAAGCTATAATACTGTAACTAGTTCCCAGTAGTTTTGTAGACACCGTCTGAGTAAATCCGATCATCTAAACTAGTGTGAAAATGGAAAACAATGATTCAGTATTGTACAAGTAATTGTCGACATTAATAGTTTAATCAAATTCCGCAACATTTGTCTGGTATTCAAAAATGAATATAATTCATTTAGTGAGATTGTATGTGATAAAAATATTAGATTTTGTAGTGTCATCATGATTTCAGTTGAAAAATCGTTGAATTTCAAGAATCATTTTGTTCTTATTAACATCGGGTTTGATGAGTAACACAATATTTTCTGATTAATAAGTGTGAATTCAATAGTTATTACTTTTAACGCTAGTCAATTTGTGATGATAGGTCAATCCTAACAAAAATATCATTATTCAGTTAGTATGAGGTATTTGGGACAGCTATAATCATTTTCTATTTATAACAAACACCGACTTTGTTAATCGGTTCATACACTTACCGTGTCTATTTCACCTTCACTGACTACTGACTCAACTGGTATCGAAGTACTACATTGAAATAATAAATTTAAAAGACAGAAGGTAGCAATATAAATAGAACAGATTAAAATCCAGTGATTGGAGAACATAACTTTCAAACACTAGGTCACCTGAGGAAACATCGTTTTATCTATCAAGCTACATGAACTATTTTTTCCATAATATATATGTGACGGCACATTAGTACACAAGCCTGTAAGTGATTGAGAAATGACTAAATATCCTTCAATTAAAAAAAGATATAACTAAACTTTCAGATGATTATATAGCTTTATTCCAATCTTTTACTTTAAAACTAATACAAATTTTCAGCTACAGTGAACAAGTTCGGTATGGTGAACAGTAACAAACCCAAGGTCTGAGGGCGAAGTCTTACTGCTGACTGTACAGAGGTGTGACAGCAGTAAGATGTTTCCTTCAAACAACCAGCATAACAGCGATGCTGCCTTCCCACAAGGAGGGGTGGGGTTAGAAAAGGTCGACCCTAAAATTGCACACCTCGCCTTATCCCACAGATATCCGTCTCCGGCGGTAAGGTCTCAACAAGTTCGGAGCTAACACAAAAACTACTCATAAAAAGGTCGTGCGTGACCGACCTCAAGCAACTGTCCCTTGGGCACTGCGGTCACGCTCTCAGGTCACTAAGACCACCTTCAGTTTCCTTTTCAGGTACCTGCAGGAGAACCCTTTCACAGTGTGGGCAACCGATAAGCGATAACCGCCCTCATACCTCTAACAGCACATCTGCATAAGTGAACATGAATATGGAACCAGTAAGTTGAAAGTTCAGAAACTGGATGCCGAGGTTTGGTTTTCTGTTAGAAGAGATGAAGCTGTTTTTAAGTTAAGACATAAAGATAAGGAACAATAAAGTTTGACGACGATGTAGCTAACAAAGAGAATATTTTGGTTCCTACTGTACGCTTGTTTTTAAAAATAAAGTAATGTACAGTAGGGAAAATGCAAATCAAAATTGATTGAGAAAATTATTTATCGGGAATTGATTTGGAAAGCACGTGATTGAAAACATCAAAGGTTAATATCATTCTAGGCAAAGTTGGACAGTGTCCAGCTGTGGAATCCAGGACGTACGTTTCGTCTTAACTAGGACTCGTCAGCCGGATTCGCCTGCATCTACTAGCCACTATCCATCTTTGCTTAATATGCTTATGAATTAAAAGAGCTACTGAAGCAATTCTTAGAGGATGCACATATGTCGAAGGAAACCAATCAATCATAGTTCAACCAGAAGGGTTGCATATTGATGCTTTGAAAAAAATTAATTTAATGTAATTTTTTCTTCATTTTTCTGTCTTAATCCATATATGTGCATAAAGAGATAGAAGTCAAGGTGATTGATTAAGTAGAATATTTGTATGCAAACGATCAATGGCGGAGTGACTTGATGATTTGCTTATTATCAATTTATTTATTGACTTGCATACTTTGTTATATATTTTATTCTACATTATGTCCTAACTCAAACTTACGACAAGCAAACAAGAATTTTAAAATGGTTTTGTCTCCATAGAAATATTTAGTATTTATATGATGACAGATTTTTAGAAAACTTTAGACCCCGACAGAATTTAAATTAGCAAGTTGTAAAATGTAGCTTTGACGCTATACTGATGTACATAAAATTGATCGTCTCTAGCCTGTGCTATGGCAGTCTTATAGGTCACATGTCAGTATTTTTGAATTAAGGTAACCCATTTCAGGGATATTAATTATTGAGTAATATTCATCCTGAGTAGGTATAGATGGATAAATTGAAATCGTTTTACATCTTTCAGCAGCTAAAACTAGACAGCTAATTTTCTAAAGCAAAAGAAAATACTTACCAACCTAAATAATCATCTTTGTTCCCTTGATCTTTATCGTATACTTCAAATGTTACTGACTGACCATGACAAATATCGACGATAGACTAAATAAAATGTATTTAAAAAGCAAAGTAAATAGTATTTAAATGGTCGAGTTGGACACAACATAAATCAAAAAAATGAAATTAATGAGATGTTACATTCTAAGAAGTCTAATTAATATGAATAAACTGTTGACATCCAGGAGAAAATTGGAAAACTAGATTACTGAATATTTGAAGTTATATAAAAAGGTGAGCATAGGTGATTTTCATGAATGAACACAAGGAACACAAATATCACGACAAATTTATTAACAATGAGCTAGTGAATAAAATTTCGGGAATTCCATCTAGTAAAGTTAATTTGATTTGAAATACATTCTCAGGAGTCGACATACATAATAAAACTACGAATGGATTGCCGCTAAACGATTTTTATAACTTTTGTATTAAGTATGATCGAATACACATTACTTATTTACACCCATCCACTCGGGGTACCACAATAGCTTTCTCCATCCAACTTTGTCCTAGGCAATCCTATCCAATTGTTTTCAGTTGCCATTCATATTTTTTTTATGTTTGTTTGTAATTCTTGACACAGTGTGTTCTTTGGCCTTCCTCTTTCCCTTTACCCTTCAGGATTCCAAGTTAGCGCTTGCCTCGTGATGTAATTTAATGATTTCCTCAATGTATGTCCTATCCATCTCCAGAGTCTTTTCCTAATTTCCTCTTCAGATGGAAGATAATTCGTTCTCTCCCAAAGTAAGTTGTTACTGATGGTATCTGGTCAACGGACATTGAGTATCTTGCGTAGATAATTGTTTGGGAATACTTGTACATTTTTGATAATAGTTGTGGTAGTTCTCAAGTTTCAGCTCTGTACAATAGAACTATCTTCGTATTGGAGGTTCTGATTTTGACTGGTTGGCAGCTGTCTTGAGTCCCGCATGTTCCTCAATTATAGGAATGCTGCCCTTGCTTTACCAATCCTTGCCTTTACATCTGCATCATATCCTCCTTGTTAATCGATTATGCTATCCAGGTACGTTAAACTTTCCACTTCTCCCAGAGCTTCTTCATCAAGTATGATTTAGATGGCACTTTCTGCGTTGTACATTGGGATCTTGCATTTCTTTATGTTGAGGCCTACTGGTGCATAGGCTGCTGCTACACTGGCTGCCTTGATCTTCATTTGTTCGTATGTATGGGATAGAACAGCTAGGTTACCTGCGAAGTTCAAATAGTCTTGTTGCATCTAAGCTGTCTATTATATTGTGTGGTTCGATATATATATCATTTACTATCTGTTGGGATGATCCAGAAAAGTTCTCGCAAAAGACACGCAAGGATCAGGAAACCTTAGAAAGAATTTCATCCAATCAGCGGTTCACTTGGAGTTTAGCCAGAAACATCAAGGATGTGAAATGTCACATGTAGAGGTTCTGACTGGTTGATTGTTATACCGCTACTATGTTTAGTAGCATTCCAGAATCTTCGAGCAACCCAAGGACATTTAGAATATTATAAAAACCCTTTGTTTTCTGTATTAGGAGGAACCTTGGAGTAAAGTGCTTTTTCGCATACTTGCGCCTTCTCTCTCGTGTTCAGGTTGCTGTATAGTTCTAGCTTGAAGGTCTCAATAATAGCTTAGGAATCAAGTATAGCGTTCAAATCGCAAGACTTATCACTATCCTTAAGAAAATACTGGTCAACATGACTAGTACACATCATCATAAATATCTCGATGAAGTGGCAAAGGCTATTCTGCTGAGTATGTTCCATTTCCTAACATTACTAATGAACCACTTATTGGTCACTTTCTTTTGGACGCTCACGTTAAATAACTGTAATAATTCATGCGAATCTGCTTTAGTCGACACATAAAACATGCACGTAAAGTGTTATATAGATGTCTTGAAAACTGTAGTGATGTGAACTACTTATGCGGAAAAACATAAGCAGTATGTAGCAGGAACTGGAAGTAGAATGCTTATCAGCAGAGGTTTGAACTAAAAGGGAAGAGGAAGAAAAAAGAAAAGCAATCGGAATAAGAACTTGATCGGAAGAATGATGAAGTATGTAAAGGACGACTCAAATGATGTATTTAGTGTATGATTTTCATACTTTGTAAAGCCAATGTGTGACTTTACATAAATTAGTGTATAATGGTTTGCCGTACTTGAATTTTCGTTTACTTCAGTGCTATCTAGTAAAACATAATTTCTTATAGAGCGTCAAGAAAGCAAAAAAAACATATCTTAGGGCATTATGCAAACATACATAAAGATAAAAAACCAGGTCATAATGTCGAATCAATGAAGGTTAAAACATGGACGATATGATCATGACTCTGAATTCGAAAGACCATTAACAGTCAGTTGTTTAATCTATAATTCCAAGGGTACATTGAAGAGTACTTACGAAGTTAAGGGCAGATCTATTGTGTCGTTATAGAGTTGAAATGTAAATTATGCGTGAATAGATAGGCGAGATGCATAATTATTTTGATGAACGCTATATACTGGCAGTGTAAATCAATATAAATTTACTTCTTTTTTGTCAGTTTGAAGGTTTTATGTGTATTAGTCATAATCCTTGAACAAATTCAGAAAATAAGCATATGCGTTTTTCATATTTTTAACTTAATGAGCCTATTTGCTTATTGGTCGCATTAGGACAAAGAACTCTCAAAGTTATTCACGACTGATGGAAAACACCTGAAGACATCAATAATATACATTATTTTCTTATCTCGAACGGAAATCTTGACACAGTATTTTTGTCTGTTCTGACGAGTAAAATCGATAGAGGTACAATTATTTAGCTAGTCTGACCTAGAAAATGACCGGTGGTAGAAACCAGGCAACAGAAACACACCAGTGACTTAAATTGAAACGTGGTATACAAATATGCGCACAGACAAGCGCAAATTAGAGAAAGGAAACATTTTCAGTATAAGTCACGAGGACTGAACAAATTCTAGTGTGAAATTATACACACGTACGATACAGCATATGTTCATTATGAAGTTAATGGTTGTAGCATTTGTGACTCAATTATGGAAAACAGACACATAGCTATCCAACTTTTGTGGATTGATGCAAAAGTGAGAGAAATGAAGAATTTCAGATAATTTATTTCTTGGTGAAAAGACAATTTGATTAAACGCACAGGCTATTAACTAGAAGTCATTTGACCATGGATTCAAACTAGAATCTATCAACTCAAGGTTTACATACTTTTGGTAGTAATCGAAGTCAAATTTCTCACTATTAAGATGCACATGTTTATATGAAACACAGAGGATAATAGTTGAATGCTCATGATCCCCAGGAAGACATGAATAAGCCACAACTGCAACTGAAGTACTTTTGTTTATCCGAAAATGAAGCCCCTAATCACCTAATTGTAAGTTTTAGGTTCTTGAACAATTGACCAACAATTTCTAAACAAATAAAGTTAAAAGTGCGTGATTTCATCGACTAATTCCATGCTTGGGTTTGATCACAATCCGTTATTTTCAACTTACTCTGATCATTATAGCATGAAACCTTTGGCAGAGCATTAATATATATGATTAAAAATCACAGCTAAAAATTAAATTCGTTTAATTAAAATACGTTCACCGAACAAAGCAGTGTTGACGTTATTAGCAAGGTGCTAAATAAATATAGTAAGGCGGTTGATGAGATTATGAATAACCATTGATTTAGGTGGATGGGACATGAATTACCGTTTCATGTGCATACATGTTTGCAGTTTTCAATGAATAATGAAATGTAGGCGCTTTGGGTTGTTTTAAGATAGGAATCCTTCTAGGATAATAAACAAGTCTCATGGAAGGGAGGAGTGGTTAATAACATAAATGATGAAGCAATCACACTATGAGGTTACCTTCACGTCTAGTAAACACAATAATGTCGTACAGAAAATGTATCCTGCAACGTGAAGTGTAACTTACACATATCACCGAAGAGATAACCTGCATTTAGACGATTCTCGAAATAACACATCCAATCTCATTAGGTAACGATGTACAAATGTTACATATTACTGAAATATATTTGAGTCATTAATAGACGTTTTACTAACCCTTTAAATATACTGTGATACTCTGAAATTTACTTGAAATGAGAGGTAATTTAAAATTGCTCGAATTTGAAAATATGTAGAAAAAAGGAAACCAATCGATATCACGAGACAATGAATAAAAGACAGCAATTAAGATAACTAAATGACCCACCTCAAAATGTTGGTTCCAAACTGGTTCTAGTGTTTCTTTAACAACAGAAGTAGTGAACGTTCTAGCACCAACTGTGAATGAAAAAAATTAAGTTGTCAACTTCGAGAAGTCGAAAGAGTATGTTTTTCATTGACGATCTTTTTATATTCTATTACACGTAAGTTTTTCGAAAGTTATTCGGAATATCAACACCAAGGTGTACGTGAATTTAACCGAGAGGCCTCAGAGACTTGCTTTCTGAAATTCACTACGGACAGCCACTATATCCGAAACATACACGACTGATTATAAATTGGAAAAAGTGAAAAAATAACAATTTTCAATTCATACACTTAACATTCATATTTTGATTCGGATCTTTGGTAGGGAGTATTGAATTAATGCCCAAGATTACAAAAGTCTTCAAAACGTGGTCACAATGCCCAAGAGGCAACTGCTTGAGGCCAGTCACGCGCGGCCTTTTTATGGGAAGTTTTTGATGTGTTAGCTCCGCACTTCAAAAGGCCTTATAGCCAGAGACGGAAGTCCGTGGGGTAAGGTGAGGTGTGATATTTATATGGTCGACTTTTTCTAACCCATTCTTTCCGTTGTGAGGTGGCATCGTTGTAGATGATGATTATCCGAGGGAAACACCTTACTGCCGTCACATCCCTCTACAGTCAGTAGTACTGTGGTGTGTGCTACTTATGTAGACATAAGTAGTATATGACGTGAGCACTGAACAGAATGTCTGGCGGCAGAGAGATAACAAGATCGAACAATAAAGAATGAAGACAGAAGGCAATTTGTATGAAAATGCAAGAACAAGGGGATTCTGAGTGATTTGAGATAATTGATGAACAATTTGCAAATTACCGATTCAATATATAGTCGTTTGATTTTACTAACTAGTTCTGTAAATTGTTGTTAAATACATTGGATTGTCCCCACTGGTGTTTTATTTCACTACATTTGGTGTCGCTGCCAACCAGGAGAGGAGGAGGGTGCTGTTCTGCGGACGCCGTTGCGGGCCTGGAGCTGAGGCGCAGGTTGGGGCAGTCTGGTGCGGAGAGGTGGCGTCTGGTGGAGTGTTCTGGCGGGGCGGCGTTGGCCGTAGCGGGTGCTGTCGACGGGGAGGAGCGGTGGGACGTGCGGCTGCTGGGCGGACATCGGATGTAGATGGCTCAGCAGGCCGGTGGAGCACAGGAGTAGACGTCCCAGGTGCCGGGTGGAGGTCGGATGTTGGTTCCCCGGCAGGTCGACGTAGCTATGGAGGTCAGCGCGCCGCAGACTCGACATTTTGACGGAGGGCGTAGCACAGACTGCAGATGCAAGAATGTTGCAAGGCGAGCATGAACCACCGCAAGAACGAATGCTTTTGAAGGGGGGACGAGTGTGGTGTGTGCTACTTATGTAGACATAAGTAGTATATGACGTGAGCACTGAACAGAATGTCTGGCGGCAGAGAGATAACAAGATCGAACAATAAAGAATGAAGACAGAAGGCAATTTGTATGAAAATGCAAGAACAAGGGGATTCTGAGTGATTTGAGATAATTGATGAACAATTTGCAAATTACCGATTCAATATATAGTCGTTTGATTTTACTAACTAGTTCTGTAAATTGTTGTTAAATACATTGGATTGTCCCCACTGGTGTTTTATTTCACTACAGTACGACTTCACACTTAGGCCTTAAGTTTCTGCTTTTAGTCTTCCCGTTTTTTAACCGACCTGCTTAGCATGGTAGGACCTAAGAGAACATCCATACCAGCCAATATGGGCAAGCTCAATCAGCATGTCAGAGTAGCAGCTACGGTTTGGCAAACATTAACCTTCTATGAACAATAGATATACCAATATAATTCCTCATTCTTAAAATGTGAAGAAATATCATAGATAACTGAATAAAAAAGTTAATATGATAGGCCACTGATATTTTAATCAATGAAATCTTTTCTCATTATGAAGTTTGTGAATAAATTAGTGGATATCAATAGTTGCATCATAATGGAAACTGGTTCATATTAAAAAGTTACACAAGACTACGGGCGGTTAAAATAATTGACTGCTGGATCATCTAGACGTCAGGAAGAGTGGTAGCTAATCTATTACAAAAATCATGTATGAAGAATTGTCGAAAACCTGAGTTCCACAAAGACAATAGTGATAGCACAATTAACATTTAGAATGCACTTTTTAATTACATCTATTTTACTGAAAATAAAATACAAATCTACCATAAAACTGACATTTACCTCGTATAACACAATATGGATCAGATGTATGATGTCCAATCATATTTTTATCACCTGCTTTAAGATTTCGACCAGATATGATATTGATATGAAGAACGCCCTTTTAACATTGATCAATAATGAAGGTATAAAAATAATTCGAGTAGCAAAAGTGAATAAAATAAGAAACAATAATGTTCGAAAATTAATTTAGGCATTCAAAACACATTAATTTGATGATTAGAAGAGAATATACTTAATTGTTTACTGAGATAACACAGATCAATATCTTATAAAATTATAAACGATGAATGCAATATGGAACCGAACTACGGAAGAGACTAAAAACCATGAAAATGAAAGGGTGTTGTCTATATAAGGAATAATGTTGTTGCTTAAAACTACAAGCCACTTTCCAGATATCTTCCAAACACCAACCTGAAGATCTGTTATAATAAATGATCAATTCGTGCTACAATGATAATTGATTGCCTTAGTACAACATCCATTATTTTGAGTTAATAAACCCTTGAAAAGTACGCATAAATCAATCCACTTGTTTAAAAAAGGTACAGTTTCACTAACTGCTTTAACTAAAAAAGTTTCTAGGCCTGACAGCAAAAATTTAAAACTAACAGGTGGAAGAAACAACAATGCCAATTGATATCACGAACAATCATTGATACAATTCAGTATTGTTTCATGATGCTAATCACGTTCTGAATTTAGGTTAAGTAGTGTTGAGACATACCGTACTATTAGGACTTCAGATACGCGCTTACTTGAGGTAATGGATATTTCAAACGCTGAATATCAATGTCAGGAACCAGTTGAACCGGTAAACGATTTGGGAGGACGACCAACTGGTTGACAACATTACGAAGTACTGTATTCAATGTTTGTCTGAATGGATTTAAAACAAATAGGTGTTAAACAGTAGATGCAACGTAAAAAAACTTAGACAAGATCGAAGTTTAATACCCTTTTAAAAGTGATTTTTATCTAATTACAAAGGGACATAACTTGTGTTTTCGACTTCTCTTGGCAACATACAAAATTAACTGATTACTGTGTCTTCTTCAGTTCCTAAACATTCAGTGTGTCTTAATACTTGATATTTAATTCACTTATAAGATATTCAGTAATTGTTAAGATTAAATTTCTGGCAACAAGATCATTTATTTTTGATTGCCAAGTTTGAACAGAAATTTTTATAGTACACCATTACGAAAATAACACATCTGTTGAATAAAACTTTCTACACGTCTGCAACATTAAATAGCAAGTTGATAGTAAGTAGATGAGTAGTTACTTTGAAATCTGTCACAGGCTATTTTAAAATAACATAGGAAATATAATAGAGGTACAAGAAATCTGGAAAAATTAAGGTGCAAGGAACACAAGTATTTTATTGTAAATGAAATGTATTCTTTGGATATAAATGAAAAGAATAAAGGACTGTTAAATAACAGTTGTGATTACATTTTTTAGTCATATCCAGTCATCACATATGTACACGTGAATGCCGAATAACAGTTTATAGCTTTTATAATTTTGTTATTGGAAAGTTAAACTAACACTATCGACGAATACAGACTACAAAGTGATTGAATCCTGATTCTTATCACATATCTTTAAAACTGATTGAAAAAACTGCAAAGCTTCTGAAAATTTGGGAAGTTTTAAGGCTTACGAATAAATTGTGTACAACTTGATCGAATGGTTGGAGTTTGTTTTTTGTTTAGTGAATCGTCCAACGATAAAGAGGAAAGATGTCTAGCTTGATTAACCTCTACTTAAACGAGGAGTGTTCATCTAGTCACGTTGATCCAATCAATAATACTTTTTAGTCCTAAAGAGACCTCTAGCTTACAGTTTTAACTGTTGCAATACTAGTCATCTTCTTAAAGAGTAAATTTTCATTTATATTAATACCCTTACGTCGAATTCATGCCGGTTGCCAGAGCTGGAGATCTTGAAGTAGCCGATTAACGGTTAGTCCTCTCAAACCCAACATTCAATACCTTGACCAAACTACAATTATAAAACGTTAGTACATGCTTTTGTGTAAAGAAATATATTGACGATAGAAGGATGGTGATAGTCAGTAAGTCAAGGTTCAGACTACTGCAACTCATTCATATGCATAGAGTCAAATGTACAGTAAAGGAAGTATAATTAAATGTTCTGAAAATGTTTCATAATAGAATAACAATATAAAGTAAGAAAACTAGAAAAAATAACATATTAAAGTAAACCCACTGCAAACCAGGGAGTCCCAGGATATTTCCCATATCGGTTAAAGAGAAATTGATATACTAAAAATCAAATGAAAAATGAATGTTACTGACTATTATTTCAATAAATAGTAGACAACACAGGAAAAAATGAAAGGTATACCAAGCTGATACATTTCCCACATGGTATGAAGTCTTTTTGTAATGACGAGTTGAGAAAAGGAATGTATGCATAATTAATGTCTAGTGAATAAATTTATAAATTTTTAATGAGGATCTGTTGAATAATATAATGCTAATCGTAAACTCGTTTGATTTACTAATTCCTAATATATCTTTTGCTGTCTACAGAAAGATTTATTATGGAGCATTAATTTTTTAGATAAAGAATATAATGGTGATTTGAACGTCCGAATTACAGGAGCTTCTCTATATCTCCATAACTTCTATGGGACAGAATGATTTAGTAAACTTTGTAAATTGCTATGTATTTATTCACATGAATCGAAGTAATAACTGTACATAACAAATAAATATAACTTAATTCTCCTATAAATCCTGTCGCTAATCGACTCCTGATTCAAACTAATAGTCTCGGAATTCGTATTTGACGGCAACGAAGGCCATTGAGATCTTGAATTTCAATATACGGAATTTCTTTGATCATAATACTTATGATAAGCCAGAGTTATGTGGCACCTTTTCAGCTACTGTGATTTTCAGCCAAATTAAAGCTTATAAGTTAAAAGATATTAACGCAGAGTTATTAGTACTAAGCGGTAGCATCAGAGTACATAACTTAGTTTTCTATTCAATAAATATTGACTGTCATAAAATACAAATAATCCTTGCATTGTGCATGACGGTACATTTATAACTGACACTAAGACAATTGCCAACGTTTCCAGAACTATGCTTGTATCTGATTATGAACTTTCAGATAACATAAGATCAGAAGTCATACACAAAAGTATTAACTACAAACAATATTTTCTTTAACAAATTTCGAAATCGGTAAAGCCATAACCTACGTTAAAGTTTTAAGGGACAGTAGAATAGTAGGAATCGTATCCACTTGCTTCATTTGTTTCGGACCTGATATTCTAGTACGTCTACTAAGACTTTAAACTTATCTAAATGCAAGCACTTGCCATAACTGCTAGAAATAATATATACAATATTATTTCAAATCTCAAGATAAGGACTTGCACAGCTACAAGCACGTGGAAATTTATAGATTAATAGAAAAAAATTGAGCGTCAAGAAACTTCTGATTGTTTACCAGCCGAGGAACTTATAACTAATTCGTAATATGGCTTCCTTAAATTTAAATCTTGGGTAAATTGTATCTTTGACTCCGTTAACTTCCTATTTTTTGAACTTAATCTCGGATATCAGTTTCCTAACGGGTGACTAATATCTCGGCATCAAATATTCAGTGAGTAGGTGCTTTAAATCTCTTCTCCGTCATAGACATTAAGAAGATGGAACGAAATTCATTTTGTCGGCATCTCATCTGGTCGTGAATGGTGAATTGCAAGGCGTCTTAGGTCTTGTGCTCTTTATAGCTTTATAAACAAGAACTAAGACTGAATCAGCGTGTGTAAACTTTTTCTGTTTGCAGATGATTTTAAGGCAGTGTATTCATTATCTCTACAAAAGCATACCAATATATGAAAGTGCATCATTGTAGAGCTCAGTGAGGTCGACTTATGTTGTTTGAAATGAAATTCGGGATTTAGAACTGCTAAACGTGGATGGATTTCCTTTGGTAGTCATTTTTTCAATTGACTTCCGATTAAATCGTAATAGCCAGCAATAAAACTTACCGCTTTAAATATAGTGGTTAAAGAGGAGATTGTTAAGTTAAAACTATTTTCAGCTAGATACAGGGTAAATTCTATAGGCGTTATTCGGTTTTTAGTAAAAAAACAGAATCAATGAGCCAAACAGTCAAAAGACGGTGTCTAAACAACTTATTCATGACTGCATATAGAATACTACAAGTTTGCAATTGTACAGAAACTAAAGAAATATACCAATAAATACTGACTGGACTATCCAGGAAGCACACGGTAACCGCACCAGCGAACGGGACTTTTGGGACTAAAGGCTTCATAACGACACGTAGTGTACCACGTAGCTTAATTTGCAAATGAAATAAAGATGGAAAGTGAAAAATATTTTATTGGTCAATTGAATAGAATATAATAAATATATGGTTTTAGTTTCACGAATGACAGCATCAGTAGTTACTATCTAACTGTAGACATTCAGAAAACCTTTCCTAACGAGTCAAAAGTCTGTCTATTTTAGCTAGTATCTGATTACCAACACCACTCCTGAACATAGGTTTCGTAGTCACTACTAAAAAACCGAAGTACATATGAATGATTAATGTCACTTTTCTGAGAAAAATAATGTTTACACCAAGTTCAAACTTTTGATTTTATTTCAAAGCTGTATTCGAGTTTGGGAGTGAAATCACCCAAGTTTCATAGGTTTTGATTAGTCCACGAATTTTAGTTAGCTAAAAGAAATTATTGCACATTCACAACCTTAATTTAAGCACAATATAAGCTTGGAGTCCATTTCTTGTTATTTTGAACAGTTTGAGAAAATAGATTAAATACATGTTAAACTACCTATTCTTTGCACACTGCCTAACGCTTTGGAATCAATTATACTAAGCATGGCATTTAAGAATAGCAATATGCACGACATAATTGTCTTACTTTAGTATGTGTAAACATTTTCATTAGTCTTGTGATGGAAATATCCACAGGATCATACTCGAAATCACCAACGAGGCTTAGGAAATTTACATGTTGGTATGACGCTGATAAGTAAAGTAAACAAACTTAACAAGCTAATGGAAATTTTGTCGGCCCTTGAGAGCGAAAATTGTAAAACCAGAGAATACAATTTACTCACAATAAAGATAACTTTAAAATGCTTAAAAAGGACGCTGATTTCGATTATGCCAGAAGTCTAAAATGCCTATTTTTGTGTAGAAGCTGGATAGGGGTCGAATTGTTGTAACATAGAACTGTGCGGAGATATTTCAGCCAAGTTACTGAAAACAGCTTTCAAAAGAAAAGAGTATTATTTAGTTGCTTTTGCAAGACCTGAAGAATAGGTGATTTTTCCAGGTCCTTATTAAATGAACTTAACACCTAAACTAGCTGGAATATGTTTGAGGCTACTAAAGTAAGTTGTGTTGTTCGTTACTAAGCCTTTGTGTGTTGCTGTTTGTCACTACCTCGGAGCGTAATACCATAGCAGTGAGAATTTGGTTCGAATTTAGTTTTTATGAGAAAATTATTAGACTTTCGTCAAAACTATCTCATTTCATTTAGTACAAAGATGTTTTTAGTATACTAAAAGAGCATTTAGATATAGCCCTAATAGTCTCCGGAAGGAAGTAGGATTTTAAGGGAACTTCTAGTCTTTCTGAGGTTTCATATTAATGGAAAAGCTGGCGTTTCTCCAGATTACAAACTGCCTGCGGATTTAACTCTTACTGAGTAAAACAGGGTGTTTGATACTTATATACTTACCCCCAAACGCCCTGGTACGGCCAAGAGTGGGGATAGTCCACTCTCCCTCTCCAAATGCTCTCACATGGCCACGCGTATATAGCCTCTGCCAGGGAAGTCCTACCCACTGCCTTCTCGTGGTGGGGGTGTTGTTTACGAAAATGAGAGGACGAAAAGCGAATGTCCGGCGCTTTAACCGGATTCCAAACCAATGGTGCACATGGGTTCCAGTATCCTGAAGGAACAAATGGCGTACGAACCAATCGTTGGTCACCGGCTACCATGGGACTGCATCTCCTCACGATGCTCCACTGCCTTGTGGGTCAGACGTTCAGGTCGAAGGCTCGGGGTGTGGCCCCCTAAGAAAACCACCTGCTTCAGTTTGGGCACCCGAGCAGTATCACAGCCCTCACACAAATCAAATGAGATCTGTGTGGCGCATATGTATTTGGTGCCTCCTTGTACCAATATTTATGTGTTAAAATAATAAATAAATAAATATACTTGGTCGGCATTCAAATAAACATTAGGATCAATAATTGAATGAGTGAAAACTTTCTTGGTTGGACAACAAAATCACGGATACACTGAACTATCCAGCTTGAAATATAAAAATCCAGAATGATTTAGAGACATTTAGATTATTTAGTTAAACAGCTATACACTTGGTACATGCCACTTAGACTAAACGTGTAGATATATAGGGATAAATAACCTGAAAGATATGAATTATTAAAAAGTACCTCAAACTCCTTCACTCCCGCCTTGACTTTTCCTAAGTTTACTTTGATTCTAGCATCACTGTAAAGCCTGTGCAGGTATTAAATAAAGCAGAACTTACATAAGGTCTAGGTCCATAACGATTTCATCCTTTCTGATGTTTTCATTCATATAAACTTTCACTCCACCGATTCTAGGGGGCTACAATACAAATGATTAACAAAATCCATTTACCGTGTCACCTAGGTCAATAGTAGCAAAATTAAAAGGTGTTAGCGCAGTTGGTAGATTTTGTGCAACGATAGGCTCGATAGACGCAACGATAATATCTCTCGCGTACTCACTAATGGATGGCCACATTCGTTTAATAACCTAAAAAAATTATCTCATTTTTAGACTTTATTACTTTGTTTAGCCATTCCGCTCTTTCAACATCTGGAAAGTAAACCTTAGTAAATAATTTACATTATAAGATTTCATTGGTATGTTAAGCCTACCCAGGATGGAAGGTCTCTCACGGTAAAATTTTGAATTATGAATGCTTTTTCGTCTTCTCCAATAGCTTTAAGTGAACTTATTAACTTTGACTGCTTATTTTTAGTATGTTGCAAAGCGAAGTATCCAAGCGACCCGATCAAGACCCAGGTAGTACTAAGTCGGAAGTATCCTACGCCGTAAATGGAAGCGCATGTCAGAAACAGCTTAAAGTAATCCCAGGAGAGTGATAAAAATGTTTGTTTAGGAGGCAAGGTCTTCTTCACTTCGTCATTGGAAGTACTTCCTTCTGACATCCTCACTAGACTAACAAACTGTCCGCGTTTGTATTATCGCGCTCAAGGTCTAAAATCTGAAGGCATTAAACAATTCACACTTCCTACTGTTTAAATGCTCTTTTTGTGCTAAAACATGGATAGATTGTATTTGCTTTTCAATATGGTTAGCTAAAAAGACCAATAGCAAGCCACAAAGCGGAAAATTCAGCACATGCAAGGATGTTCACTGACTCTACAAAAATGTAGGAATGACATTATGAAATGATTTTTCGTTGAAATGCGGGAGACAATTTCAATGAATGCCATCTTCGACTTTATAATGAAAAGCTATGACAGTGATAATAATGAAGACCAGTCTCATGAGAGGCTGCAGTCCATCTTTGAGAAGAATTCACGGAAAAATAATGTTATAAACGAAGCCACAGGTTTTCGCAGTTTAACAACGCTACTAGATGTAAAAGTTTTTAAATCGAGTTACACCAAACAAATCCAGTAATGAGCCAAAGATCAAGGGGTCCAAGGACATTTTTGGAGAGCTATGGTCGAGCGTTTGGTTTAAGCTGACAGATAGTAACAAGGGTTGCGTAGTATGGGGTAGCCATTCGTGGTCTATCGCGGATGTGTGTGGGCGAAATATAGGATCATAGTATACATCGTTATTAGTACTATTATAATAAAAGACCTAATCCTAAAATTGTAGATATGTCATGTTTTAATTGCCTAATCTATAAAGTCGTACGTGTTTGTCACATCTTTTTCTATTCTGACTAGTCGCATTGTAACAATTTGCAAGCAAACGTTTGGCGTTTGTAAAGAACACATTCAGGCTAAAGATAGAGTAGTTTATTTGGTGTGGGTAAAGACGAACTATACAAAACGACTATGTCTGCGCTATCCGAATGAATGAATGTTTCCATATTCTCCATTGTTAACCTTCTTTTTGTGTCAATCGTTGAATATTAATGTCTTAAAAAATTATATGTTTGGCTTCAAAGGTAGTGTGTTTGGGGTCCAACGCCACTAAAGAAATATCGAAAGACTGGAAAATGGTATACCTCGTCAAGTTTCCGCTAATATAAAATATAGAGATTACGCTACTTTCAATGCCAGAGTAAGTTTTAAACCGTGTAGACCCCGAATGACGGCAAGCTAGCGTTTATTAGGATCGGCTGTTCACAGATTTAGTCTTTGCTCTGTTGATCACGATTGAAAAAGTGGTCGAATGGAATTTATTGCTGCACACCTACTTCGAATACAAGAAAGTACTGGATATCTAAAACAGGAAAACCTTGTGGAATTTTCATCAACACTTTTGAGTGCAGGACAAGATCTAAGCTATTATATAGCTGTACTATAGGGAGTTTAGTCGCGGAATTATCCACCGTGACTTCACAAAACTATTCCAAGTAAAAACCGGATTCAAACAAGTCTGGATACCCTTAACTTTGTTACTCCTTGTTATTGAATGGCTTATGATGACTTTTGCATCTTAGAAGAATCATGTGATGCAGTGAAAATCCTGAAATCAGCTGGAAGTTTTGGGCTTTATAATTGATTTGTACAATAGTGAGAAACAAACGCCGAAGAAAGATGAGAATTAAGCTATGGTTTCTTTGGAAGTATGCTTCGATATCGATTATGAAAAAAAACACAACAGTGGAGTAAAATACAATTTGTACTAACCAAATCACTCTTTAAGGAAATACTAAAATAAATGAAAGCCTTTATGTGCCTCGATAGTATCATTTTAAACAAAGATTATCTGATGCAGAAGTTTGAACACGAAGTCAAGGCAGGATGACCCTAATTAAATAATGTCTGGAACATAACACAAATGTCACTGAAAGCCAAAGTTATAATTTCTAAAAAGAGCAAGAATGAAAACTTGGGGAGGATAACGTGAATTCATGTTTTCTACAACACAAATGTTATAACTGTTCTGTTGTACGGATCTAAAACATGGAAATCTGCCATAACTGTCGTCTAAATGGTAGTTATTCACCAACAATTTTCTACGCAAGATACTTGAAGTTTTCAACTACAGTCAGTCAAATAGATGGGTGACTTTTGGTCAACAAGGCAAGTTATCTCTCCACTAAGTTAAGTGTAGTCGTCTAAACATTAGTATTTTTAATAGATAAGGTTCTTTTTGTTCATGACATCACTTAACTAGTATGAGAAAGGAATTTTGGTAGCATTTCCGGTAAAACAACATTAATCTAGCCTGTTAAAACAACACACATTGTACTTAAAATAAATAAGAGCAGTCTTATCTATGACCAAAGATTAAATGTAGTATACAACCGATAGAGTCTGCAATGCCAATGTAATGCTACAGGGCATTAGCCAAATCATCTGGAAGCCGGACGACTAAATATCGGATGGTATTCAAAGCCATAGAAACATATCATTCAGCGTTTTCTGAAATATGCATATCCTTTCAAGGCGCACATATTACTAAATTAGGCTAGTCTACAAACACTCCGATTGCTTAGGCACTTCAAATATGAAACAATAGCCTTGATGCAAGCCACTTACCTTCGTTGAATCTGGCCAGTATGGTCAACTATAACTGAAACCATTTGAGATCCCTCACATTTTGCCGTACCTAATAAATATTCATGTTTATTAAGAGTGTCTGTTATCGTCAACTAAGCAGTATTTGGTAAAAGCTTCTGTAAAATACATATTTTCCGAACAATCTAACCATTTCCAACCAAGTTTGGAGATTAACTTTACAGAACTCTTCATTTCAATATGGTTGAAATTATAAAAACTTCCAAGTACAAACACTTGCAAGTTGTAATTTAGTGGGAGATTTATCATTTTATGAATGATTAGATCTTAAAATTATCCCTCGTGACAAATAAGAATCAGTGCTTGTTTGGTGTCCACATAGAATAAGTCGGTTTAAAGTCTAAAAATGCGTCAGCGTGGATTTATTCAACAATGAGATTGTCATAGAGCCATGTCTGGTTGATCTGGAAGATAAGATTGAACCTGATATAATGACTCTACAAACGGAGCGTAAATTCTAAAATAGACTACATTTTTTTGCCAAAAAGTACAAGCTAAAGCTTTTCAAAATGTACGGGTATATGGTAATTAGAAGTATTCGAATTAATGTACTAATCAGGAATTCCTGAAATGTTGCAAAACTAGGATCATGGTTTCTTACCTAACACCTCCAACTATGTAACACTTTAATATGGTACAGCTGATGTCGAATCACTCAAATAAGTAGTCAAATAGCAAGTTGATCTGATGAATTCGATCAGAGGTAGTTTTCTATAAAATAAACAAATTCGCTTAAGAGTCAGTGAGATAGAGTTATAAAAGAATGGAATGGAAAAGCCATGGATGTAAATTTTACCACATTGTAAGTCAAACAGAAGACAATTATTGTGAATGGGAAGTTTCTCTAAAAAACGGTAATATTACAAGATGTATAAATCTGTCAGCTACTTAATAAATTTATTGAAGTTTCCGATCAATGATTCAGAAAAACAATCGATGGTTCTGTCCGAATGTTTATAAAACATGTGACTTCCGGAATCAACGTAGAGAATTAAGTAGCTTCTAAGAGATTCATTATTGTCTGTACGTTTGTAGCGTGGTGTCGAGTTGAGCTGAACTATGAACACCGCTACCAGACTACGTGCCAATAGACCAATAAGATTCCGGGAGGCCAAAAATCAGAAGGCAGATGATGGCTGTAGTCGAGATGTATTTGTTGGCGATCTCGTGGTATCGAAAGAATACCGAGATCGTGCCAAAGGAGTACAAGTGTGGTTACTGAGCGCAACCGGATTCGTACAAGTTCAAAGTCAACGGGAGAGTAAGTATAATGGCTGTCATTAGCACAGTTAAACAAACGAGCACAGTAAAACAGTCAATGGTACAATTGGTTATAATAATAATTGTTTTCATCGATCCAATCGCGTTCTGTTGACAAAAGTAGGTCACTACAGGAGCCCCCCGCTAGAAAGGGTTTACACTTTCGATAGTTAGCGGTTTGATTCGTGGGACTGATCGGCAGAATTGCGGTTGTAGGACGGAGGAAATTGGCGGAACAGGAAGTGATCATTGATCCTCGAGTTGCCAACGAAAGTCTTTTGCGCAGAACGGTACCAGGAGAAGTGTGCTGTATTTGTTGGTCGAGTTAGCATACCACACCAGAGTGGTTTGTATCCAGGATCTGATGATTGCGTCCGTATGGATGCGGACCAGAAAACGCTGCAGACGTAGGACGAAACCACGTTGAGCCAAGAAACCGGACGCGACCATAACGACCAAGCGTATGCCAGGCGAATTCGAGACCAGATAATCGACTGAGTGCGTTGACTAGAGCATGGGTGGCCAAACCAGCTTTTGCCAAAGTTGACTGAAGTCGACGTTACCAAACGGGCGTAGGTCGTAGGCGTGGGCTCAGGATACAAAAAAAAATCAAAAAAAGAAAAGTGTAGCATGCGTGTAGTATAGGAATAATCCTACACCGTATCCGTTATTGACTGTGCGGTTAGTCGCGAAAGCGTACGGGTAATCGTACTCGGCGACCGGAACGTGAGACGGTAGTCTCGTTCGTACTTCGTGAGCCTGCGATCTCATCCGAGGTCAAGGGCGGCGTGGTCTGCCGATCTGGACGTGAGACGGAAGTCTCGTCCGTAGATGGTGCAGATGACGCGTGCTGCTTGACCGGGACGTGAGAACGAGGTCTCTGATGTATCTAGCGTGGGATCCGAGGTAGACGTAGAGATCCCGCTAGAAGGTTTGATAGGTCTAGCATTGAGTCTCAAGTTATCGGGTAGGGCACTGTCATCGACGTGTGCTGGTTTGAGACGATCAATGCTGACGATCTCGACGCGGCCGTGTCGATCAACCTTGAAGGTCTTTTCGTGACGAGAGATCACGTGAAAAGGGCCTTCGTAAGGCTGTTGCAAAGGTTTGCGTACCGAATCTACTCGTATGAAAACATGTGAACAGGTAGATAACTCTCGAGGGAGAGCGACCTGTCGATGTTGTATTCGAGTTGACACCGGAGACAGCGTTCGCG